TTTTATTATATATAATTTTAGAGAAAGAGAAAATATTTCTTAAAAAAAAGTTAGTAAGCGTATAAGTTCTAGTATAAAATAATTATATATAAGTTTTTAATACTAAGAAACTTCTTTATAAATTTAAAAGTAAACTTTAGTAGTACTTAATAAGAGCTACTCTTAGAATTCTATAGTAGTGTAACTTATATATACTAGTAGTAGAGACTAAAAAGAGTCTAGAGCTAATTTACTATAAATCTACCTAGTTATAGATAGAGCTAGGCTTATATTCTATAGCGTCTGTAAAGATATCTCTTTTTAGTTATTACTAGATTTGTTTATAGCACTTGTGCTAGATTCTTAATATATATATAAATCTTATCTTAACTAATCTTCTTTAAATTATACTTTTTTACTAGCTTTCTTAGTATCTATTAATTATATTAGATATAAATACTTATATAATACTAAATTTAGAAGAGTAGCTTTTTATATCTTATATATACTTTAGTTTATTTTTCTATCTAGTTTTATACTAGTTACTCTTTTATATACTAGATAAAAGACCTTCTAATATATCTCTAAAAAACTAGTAAACTTAGTCTCTTAACGTTTTTTACCTTTCTTTCTCTTAGAGTAAATAAGTAGCTACTTAAAGAACGCGTATAAAGTAGTAATAGATATAGTTATATAATTATAATTTTAATCTTAGTCTAGGTATACTTTTAGTATCTATACTAGAGTAAGTTTATACTTTTTAGTGTAAGCTTTAAAAAGAATAAAAAATATACTAATTCTACTAATCTTCTATATAATTAAGTAAGTAAGTACTACTATTCTTATAGTTCTCTTTTATATACTTTTATTTATTAAAATTCTCTAGTTATTAAAAGTAGTATATAAGTAGATAATTCTTATTAGATAAAAGCTATATCTTATTCTTATTACTATCTTAAATAATCTAATAGTAATTTAGCTACTAATTTTAGTAGTTTATAATACTATTTCTAGATACTAACTTACTATAAAACCTTTCTAATTATATAGGCTATAGCCTAAGTAGAAGCGTTTCTAGCTTTTCTACCTTAGCTAGCGTAGGTGTTAAATAAGTCTAAGAGCTAATTTAGTTTTCTATTAGAAATACTATAGTACGCCTATAACTTAACTTACTCTTCTAAACACTATAAGTAAATACTAATCTAATCTAAGGTTGTTCTACTAGTAGAGTATTAAAGGCTTCTTTCTTACTATCTAGAGTAATATTAATAGAGACTTTATTTTTCTTTTCTTATTTCTTTTTTATAGCTTATATTATTATTTAAACTTTAATTCTTATTATATTATTCTATTCTCTTTTTATATCTTACCTTAGATATATAGCTTTAGTTATATACTCTATCTCTACTTACTCTACCTTTTCTATATCTCTATAAATACTATATAATACGTAATAATATTTACTAGTTAAGAGTTTCTTCTATAATAGTATAGAGCTAGACACTAATTAGATAGATGTTAATAAATTTACTAATATTAATAATAAGAGTAATCTTTCTCTTATACGCTTCTTTTAGTTCTATCTACTACTTAGGTATAGAGAAAAATTAAATACTATTATAATACTAAGAAGTAGCTTAAACTATTAATATATATTATATAATAAAATAAAAAGCTTTTAAATTATTTAAGAAGCTTTACCTTATAGTTTTATATAGAGTAAGTTCTCTATAAAGATTTTTTTTTCTTTAAAAGGCTGTTATTATAATATTATAGAGTTGTAAACTTTAAGTAAGTGTTTGATTTTTCTCTGCACCTAGGTGCCGCCTGTTGTGCCTTTTTTCCTGTTCTGTATCCTACACCCACAGACTCGTGTAGCGCTAGCTACTAACCTAAGAACAGGTTTGATGACGTAGAATCTGACCAATCAGCGCCCCGCACCAACGTGCCACAGTGATATATCCTGCCCAGCACGACACAGCAAGATTATTCGTTTTCCTTATCTCTGGAACACCACATATTTGTTGTACGGAATTTTTTAAGTCTTAAGCTTTTACGACGTATACCCAAGACCGATACTGTGGGCTAAGTCAAGCTCCTAAGATCAATACTGCCATCTACACGATGGTGCCCTCAATTCCCGCAATACTGCAAACCCCTTGGCCTGAAAGACCGTCGACGAGGATTGTACAGCGTGATGAAGAGTCTCTTCGGCATGAAGCGGGGGAGACGGAGAATCGACGTGCGTTGGAGGAGTATCGGAGCCAGAAGAGCGCGCTGCAGGAGGAGAAACTGTATGTTCTCTCTACCGGCGCTTCCTTATTCTCTACCTGATCTCGGGTGTCTATTATGTGTCTATGAAAGGGGTTCCTCCGATCTGATGTTGTGTACAGTGCCGTATGTCCTCGCCTCACGCTTCGACTCTCGGATGCCAGCACTCTGTCTCTCAGGGATGGAACCTTGGATTTCACGGCGACGCTATGCTACACAATGACTCCTGAATTTGTACCTAGCCAGCCAATCGTTCTACACCTGCTTGGTCCTAAAGCTGGAGGCCCACTATCCGAGAACGCAGTGTACTGGGGCCAGTACCAGATCTTTGCTTCGCCTGAGAACCTCCCTGAACATCGCCTTCCCTTTGAATGGCGCAATGTGAGTTTACGGCGGCCAAGAGATGCAAACGGGCGGTTCATCGATTCGAGCGATAGCCATTACGCAGCGGCGCAGACTTATGTTGTCAGCGAGGCTGAGGGATGGATTGAGCTGTTTCCCGGACAAGAAGTCAGCCGGCGCGTGACGTTACAGCTTGATCAGGCTGTTGCTTGGCAACGAGGGGTCAGCTCTGGGCGGGATTATTGGTTGCGTTGGGCGCCAAGTGGAACGGTTGGTAAACCGAAGACGTTGTGGAGCTGGAAGTATGGCGGGTTGAAGGTACGTCACCGAGTTATTGTTAGGGTTGGCCATCCAATGTCGGGCAGTTGCTGACTGTTTCCACCGCGCAGGATTGGGAAGGGATCATCCTCAACAAGAAGGAGGATTCAAAATGCTGGATACCGATTCCTATCCAGTCAGAGGAAAGCGGGCTGAAGTTCAAAGTCGTTGATGGGGCCGAGTAAGATGCAGCTGACAATCATGAAACGACTTGGTTCGCTGGAGCACCCAAAATAAACGCTCAGCAGCGAATCCTTAGGAGAATCATATTCGGCCCCATTTTTTGTATTTGGCCCCCTGATTTTCCTAGTCGACCCCTCTAGGCAGAAGTATGCGTGGAAGTTTTCGAGCCTCGACTTCAGGACTACGCATACGGATCGGCGCGATGCGCAGACTTGGCGGAGAATGATGGCGAAGAAGCGTATGACAACGCAGATAGCTGGATGCTCATCGCCCTTGGAACGTACTGGGCGGACAAGTGCGGCCGCGATATTCCTTTGAGTGAGGAATAGGAGGATTGGATGTGCGCTGGCTCTTTCTATTATCAATGGGCGAGGGGATCGTTGGCTATAGCTATTAATCTCTCGAGAAACCCTGAATATAGGTTGTTTTTGTAGAACAAGAAGAGATGTGATTGTTCTATAGAAGAGGGAGGAAGCCCTGTATAAATACTACTAGGGCGACGCTAGTGCTAGCGTGGGTGAATCACGTGATAGAATCCTAACCAACAGTTTTCGAAATATTGTGCGGTTTTTGAGCTAATTAAGGAAAATGGCGCTAGATCTAGTTTGTTAGCAAATCGTAGTACAAACAGTATCCTACTACATTTGGCATCGCTAGAACGCTCTAAAGAATGCAGCGTGTGCAGGCGTTATCTAAGAATCTCTTAGCGTATCGTTTTTTCTTTAAATATAGTGACGCTGTCTAGATGCAAATGCGTGCTTAGCTTTTAATATTTTATTGTAGAGATATAGGTAATTAACAAGTCTGTAAGAGAGATGTAGTTAGAACGAGGTGCAGCGGCAGGGTCCGCGGGAAGGGCTAGCGCGGTTTTAGTGCGGGGCAATCGCCGATATGTGCACGAAACCATGCGCTAATCTCTCTACACGCCTCGCTTCCTTATCCCTCACGCTGTAAACGCTACGCCTGTCTTCTTTGGGCGATGACTGTGCCTCTTCCTTTGTTCTGGTTATTGTTGTGCGACAATAGGCACCCATCGCGATGACGTGCGACGTCCGTGCGCGAAATCGCATGTTCACCGTGTCCCCAGCACTGAGGTTCGTTTGCGCTGCATCTTTTTACTTGGTCGTTCCAAATCGTGACGAAGATGCTCAGCGCACATCGTCTCGTTCACTCTCGTCGCCATGGAGTCTAAACCACCTCTACCTGTTTCAGCGGACTCGTATGTCTCGACTCATAGCACTGCACTTGAGAGAGCTAGTTCACAGGCTTTGGTCGGCGATGAGAACCCGCTCAACTGGTCGGCACTGCGCAAATGGCCCTTGTCCATTATCGTGATCCTGATGTCCGCAACGATGGGCTACTACTCCGGTGTGCATGCTGCCTCGATCCAGGCAGTCGCAGATTTCTACGGATGTTCGGTACTCGCGTCCACGTCTGCGGTGTCGTTCTTTCTCCTCGGATTTGCTATTGGTCCTCTCTTCTTCGCACCGTTGTCTGAAATGCTGGGAAGAAACCCGATTCTCAGAGTCGCGTTTGGACTCTTCGTCATATCCAATATCGGAGACGCGTTAGCGCCTAACATCGAGACACTGTTGTTCTTCCGCTTCTTGGGAGGCCTTTTGGGAGCGCCGACAGGTACGAGAACGAATAGAGAGAGATGGCACCCATACTGTGCTAATATCCTGCAGTTACCAACACGGCAGGCTCCCTCACTGACATGTGGGCTCCACATGAGCGAGCTGTCCCACTCGCTCTTTTTACCGCAGCAAGTTTCTTAGGTTTTGTCATCGGCCCCATCTGTGGCGGACCTATTACGCAGTACGCTTCGTGGCAATGGTGAGCAACTCCCTCTCCTACGAAACTTCTCAACAATGTCTAACAATACCGTAAGGGGCTATTGGACTTCCATGATCCTCGGCGGCATAACCTACATCTGCGCCCTCCTCTTCCTCCCAGAAACGTACGCCCCACAACTGGTCCGCGCGAAGCAAATCAAAGCTGGTGGCAACCTCTCCAATGTTGACTGGAAGAAACGCGCGCGCGATAACCTGGTTCGTCCATGGGTTATGCTCTTCACCGAGCCCATCGTGTGGGCCTTGTCAACGTACATGGCATTCCTATACGGAATCATGTGTCTCGTACTCGTCGCCTATCCCATCGTCTATAAGGAATACAGAGGCTGGTCAACTGCCAAGATGAGCGTTGGATACACAGGCCTGGCAATGGGAATGGCTCTTCCAACAATCCTATCACCTCTGCTAAATCGCGCCCATACACATTTTGTGCGCAAACTAGGTCCGCAGCCTGAAGCACGCTTCCCACTGCAGATAGCTTTCACATGGCTAACACCTATTGGGCTCTTCTGGTTCGCATGGACGGCAACAGCGTCTGTACCGGCTGTCGTGCCCATTCTGGCTGGGGTTCCGCTGGGTATCGGTCTTCTGACGGCTTTTCTGGATATTGCTGCGTATCTTACCGATTGCTATGGTATATACGGGGCAAGTGCCCTTGCTGCAAATGGACTTCTGTGCCGACTCTTTGGTGCAGCATTTCCGCTCTTCTCGAAACGGTTGTATGAGAGCTTGGGTGTACCGTGGGGAACTAGTCTGTTGGCTTTCGTCGCCACGGCTATGGCGCCTATCCCGTGGATCTTCTATCGCTATGGGCCGACGATCAGAAAGAAGAGCGCATACCATCAAGCCGCCATGGGTCGTACATAGAATGCGATATGCGTTTCTTTGTGTGTTACATAGATTGAACGATGCGAATAGTCTGAGAATTGACGGACGCGACGAACAGTGATCGGTGTTGGTACATATATCTAATGTGATCCGTGCTCAAACGCGTTAATAGCTTCCAACGCGCTGCGCCCAGGCAGCTCCCCTTGCCACGACAATTGCTTCCTCAACCCAATACGCGCCCTACGCCCATCACCAAAGACATCACTTTGCTTGTCTTGGGGAAGAGATACTTCCACCGTGAAGTATCAACGTGCGCAATGTGTGGGCCTCGCTCGAGCCAGCACCGCACGACTTCAACGCGCACCCAACCTGGCTGGACGAGCTGATGCGCCTAGGTCGAGCCTGTGACGTCCAACCTCGTACCAGCCATCCCCTACAAGCTCTCTAGCTACGCTCGTCAACAAACGCATTAGCACGCAACGGCACCAACAACAAAGACGACTTCTTCGTTTCGAGCGTTTCCCTGCCATTGCCAGTGGTATCGCACCTCTTTCGAGCCTGTATCCCCGAGACCGCCGATAATACCTAGGTGGATAGACTGTCGTCCACAGAACCTATATCGCTTGCGCATCAATTTTGGTGGAGCAATATGCACGAGGGCATTCGTCATACTCGAAGGCAGGGCAGAGACACGGTACATCAGGCGTGATCAGACTGTGGGCAATGGTGACAGCCCTGGGGCCATGTCTGCACACACAACAATTGAATATGGCGGTACTTTACGTATTCCAACCAACTGATGTGCGGATGCTATGGTGCTGTCTAGGATCTAGTCTGGCTTTTGCATCTTCTACCACGGCTGTACGTTGTGGTTAGTTTTGCACCTGCCGCTGTCACCCACACGTGGAAGCAGCGGCCCACGTGCTGCCGTGGACCCTGATTTTCACGCCGTTACCGTTAACCCCGCAAACTCCTCCTCTCACGACATCTAAGACACGTAGTTCAAGTTCTAGATGCATGCTATCAGTACGCATTCTTTTTTTACTGCCAATAGTGGCCTGATTCGACGGGTAAATTAATGTAGTTTGCACGTACTACTACTGAAGCAGCGGGTCTGGGGGCCTAGGCTCCTCTTGAACGAATGGCACAAGCGCCAGGCGCGCATGAGGCTCCTGATGTTCATTTACACCTACCTAACTCTGCTAGTATACTGTAGTGCTTATCTGCTGTTCGGTCAGGGCGCAATGCTTAACCATATTATGGAGTGGTCGTATAGCCATGCGCGGCTTCACGCTTCCCATCTCTCAACATCCACCGTCTTTGCTCTAACAATGCCAGGCAGAGATCACACCGCCGAGGCCGAGACCTTCGACTTCATTCTGGTAGGAGCAGGATCAGCAGCATGCTTGATCGCGTCACGTCTCTCGCAGCGGCTACCCGATCGCCGAATCCTCGTTCTGGAAGCCGGGGAACATGTTCGCGACGACGCCATAGTCCAAACGCCCGGTCTATCGGCAAAACTGATGTCATCTGAGTACGACTGGCAATACATTTCCGTGCCGGAGCCAGGTCTGAACAACAGGAGAGTGAAGCATCCGAGAGGGAAGTTGGTGGGGGGAACCAGTGCGATCAATAGTCATAGTGTGGTGTTCCCTAATCACGAATGGCAAGACCGTATCGCGAATGAGCTCTTATCAGATCCGGGGAAAGAAGAGTGGAGTGCAAAGAGCATGGGAGATTGCTACAGCCGATGGCAGGCAGAACACCCCGAACCCAAACTTGACGATGGTATAAAGACATCATACCCGCGTACCATGGACTATCTCCAATCTCGCTGGACGGAAGCCTTTGAGGAGCTAGGTCATCCGACGGGCACTACAGGATTTGCCGAGAGCAATGCTGGCGCAGTCACTGTCACCAATGCGATCGACTCATCAAAAGGCGAGCGAAGCCACGCAGGCCAAGCATTCCTAGAGCCCGCCTTGAAACGGGGCAATGTGACAATAAGAACCGGCATAAAGGTCGACAAGATTGCTTTTGACGAGGCGTTGACCGCCGAAGGGAAGCTTAATGCCACGGGCGTTCACTTCACACACGAAGGCGAGGAGTATCTGATCGATGGTCGAGAGATTATCCTCTGCGCAGGCGTATTCGAGTCTCCCGCGCTATTGGAACGATCAGGTATTGGATCCAAAGACGTCCTCGCGGCCGCGAATGTCCCACTCTTATACGAGCTGCCAGGCGTCGGCGAGAACTTGCAGGATCATCTGAACTGCGGTCTGTCCATCGAAGCTGGAGACGACACTCCAACTCGTGACGACGGACTACGAGACCCTATGGTGCAAAGGGCGGCATTAGAAGAGTACGGGAAAAGTCGCACGGGTCGACTGGCTGAAGGAGGAGCGTACAGTTTCGCTTTCACGCCACTGCAGTTACTAGAAACTCACTCAGAGACGGAGGAACTGGTTGCAATGGTCAAGCATTCGGTGGAAGCAGAGAGCAACCCCAGCCTCAAAGCCCAGTACTCCGTCATCCAAAAGGCCGTCGAGAGCCCTAGCGAAGCAACAGCCACGACCTTCATGCTGCGTTCACAGCGTCACAGAGACCTCGAATCGATGCCTCCAAACACGCCATCTGTGGTCGATGGCAACTACATCACCATTGTTGCCATGTTGGCGCATCCATTCTCGCGCGGAAACTGTCATATCTCCTCCGATCCTTCGCTCAAGCCAGAGATCAAGTTTAACTACCTATCGCATCCTCTTGACGTGGAGATCTTCGCTCGCCACCTCCGTCTCATTGAGAGGCTCTTCCAAAAGCCTGTCTTTACTGCTATGGCAAAACCAAATGGAAGACGATTGCCTCGAAGCTTTCCCCACCCAGTGACGTCGCTTGAAGATGCGAAAGGGATCCTTCCTATCAATTCGGCAACGAACTACCATCCTTCTAGCACTTGCTCGATGATGAGAGAGGACCTAGGGGGCGTTGTTGACGAACGACTGAGAGTATACGGAACGAAGAATGTGAGGGTTTGCGACGCTAGTGTTTTGCCGATTATACCACGAGGGAACATCTTGACCGCTGTCTATGCTTTCGCGGAGAAGGCGGTTGAGATTATCTGTGCGGAAGCGAAATCGGGCTTTATCAAACCCTAAAGACGATCGATCCTGAGTCGAACATCGGGTCTCTTGACGAGTGTAGTTTGAAAGCTCATTGTAAGACATGAGTAAATGCATTTTCGGTCACGTATCAGCTATTCTTATCCTAGGCCCTCTTCTTGATGATATCCGCCGCCTTCTCCGCAATCGCGTACATAGTGGCCTGTAGATGCGTCGCAGGAATCATCGGAATGATACTTGCGTCCACAACACTCAATCCCTTGACTCCATACACCAGCAATTCATCACTTACACAACCACCAAGCTCTTCAGGCATCATACTGCACCCACCACTGGGATGCGCGAATGTGGGTTGTAGTGAGCCCGAGGCAACACCGCCCTGGATGATCTCCTCATCGGTTTGGTACTGAGGGCCAGGAGCTGTCTCCACAGGGTTATATTGCGCAAGTTCCTTGGACGCCCAGTGTGCGCGGTTGTATCGTGTAAGGGCTACCATAACATCCGCATCAACAGGGTTCTGGAACGTGTTCCATTGGACAATCGGATAGGCGGCAGGATGTGTATTGTTGAGTGTGATAGTGCCTCGTGAGAAGGGCTTGTTGTTCGCGATACCAGAGAAACCCCATGGCTGGATGACAAGTTCGCCTACAGCGGCGTCAGTGCCGGAGAACTGCTTCGCAAGGATGTCGCGCTGCTTCTTGAAACCGGCGAGAAGCTTCTTGTCCTTTGCGTAGCGTCCCGGGAGGAAGTTGGAAGCTACTTGAGATCGTATCTTGGCAACAGTCTTCTTGAACGAGGAATCGAAGTGTTGTAGTGCAATGAAGACGAGACCGTTGGCTTTGCCAACAGAGTATGGGCCGGTGCGCGACTTCAAGTACTGATCGTAAGCTGTTTGGTTGAAGGATGAATCTGTGCCGAGGGCGTTCATGTTCTCTGGATTCAGGTTTTGAAGGTCAAAGTTCATGTAGTTGGCGATGTGGTCTTGGAAATTTGAACCCACGGCTGGGAGATCCTAGGAAATGTCAGCACAGGTCTCAGGATCATCACCACCATCCTTACACCTCATACAAGGAGAATTCTGAACAGGTCTGCAGCCTACATCAACATGGAAACCTGCAAAGTAGGTGTCCTAACGTCGATGTAGGCTCCAGCCCTGTTCAAATTTTTCGAGGTTGACGTGCTTACCTTCTTAACGGTGACACCGGCAGCTTTCAGAACGTCCTTTGGGCCAATGCCAGAGTACATGAGCAAGTGTGGTGTAAACACGCCACCAGCAGCAAGAATGACTTCTTTTGCGGCAGTGGCTTCGACTTGCTTGTTGGTGTCTTTTGGAGTATACTTGACGCCCGTGGCGGTTAAGGCGCCTACTCTGTTCTTTGAGAACATAATCTCATCGACATGAGCGTTTGTTAAAAGTTTCAGGTTCTTCCTCGACACAATGGGATCGTAGTACGCAGTGCGCGATGTACTACGCATATCAGTCGCCTTGTTGATTGAGTTCGGTGACCAGTAGTGACCGACAGGCTCTGCAAAGCCCTCCTGTGGGTGCGGAATGTCGACATCATCCCAGGAGTGATAGATAGTCTTCATATCGGGGAATTGGTAGTCCGGTATCGACACCTTCAGCGGGCCATTTCCGTAAGCCTTGGCATCATAGGTGATACCAAAAGCCTTGGTTGTCTTCTTCGAAGGCGCATCGAAGTCGTTGCTCTTCATGAAGTATGGTTTCAGCCCCTTCCAATCCCATCCTTTGTTTCCGAGCTGGCCCCACGCGTCATAGTCTGCATCAGCACCTCTGTCAAACTGCATTCCGTTCACATAGGACCCGCCGCCGACGACGTTGCCGACTGTTACTAGGAAAGTTTGGTTGCCAAGATTGGGAACGGGTGCGCTGTAGATGTCGTACATAGCAGCAAGGTT